CCCCCCCCAAAGAAATGATCAAAATGGGCGTGCACATGTCGACGTCTCTACGTCGGACTGGTGCACTGCACAATCGTCGAACCACCCGTTTTACAGGGGATCGCGATTACCGCCGGTTTATTTTCTCGACCTCCCCCGCCCCCCACCCTTACTGCCGTACGTCCTCTCCTACTCGCACCCTGCTCTTGCCTGCACTCCATCGCTTAGATTTTTCATATTGAGATACTTTGAACGTAAGGCCACTCGGAGTTGATGCTCTTAACCGTAAAAGTACGAAAAAAACAACCATTTAAAAAAAGATGTGCTCAGAAGACAACGGCAGGTCTCTACTCCAATGTGGGCTGAAGTCACTTCTGGAAAACAATCTTGTTTCAACAGAGAAGGAGAATTTACCTTTAGCCACTTTGGGAGAACCCTTAACCGATGACAGGTTAGTGTGTACCATACCTTATATGGAAAAGGCGCGATAACTCTTTGTTTTAACTAATTGGTGGTAACGTTCCTGCAGGAGAAGTACAGCCCTTCACTGTGTCGAAATTGAAGTTTTACGAATCTTGCGCCAGCTTGTAAATGGTGAAGTGATGGAACTTTCGGTGCCGAAAGTTACGAAATGGGACAGGTATGATGCTATCACGGCGTCACTATGAACGCGTTTTTGAGGCAAGCGACGTATTCCGATGCGTCTTATCGACTACCAGAGAACGGATGGGTAGCATTGTCCAGCAAAGCATGGCCACCATATGGACTCAATACTTAACAATACCGATTTCATCCCAATCAGAAATTTGGCTCCAGTCACCGCACCGGATAGTGAGTGCGCCGTCTCCAGAGTCCGGTATGATGTGCCTGCCTCTAGGCACAAGTTCACTGTGATAGTCCTGCTCTTGTCAAGAGTCCACAGGCAGTTGAACGAGCGCGCGTCAGGCACCCGGAGGCGAGTATCTTAAGCGCGCGAGTGAGGGGATGAAACTGAGGTTCGAATACGTGTAATATATACAGCAACATTTAGGCAGATGTACTACGAGGACGTGACGTTCCTCAAGTCTCAACGGGAGGTCGACGACGCGGCCCTGAGCGTGAGTCGCGTCCTCAGGCTGCCCCCCTGGCATCTGGGACTCCTGGCCACCGCCAAAGGACTCGTCGCCGGTGACCTGACCATAACCACCGCCGACGGGGAGGTGCTCGATTGCAGTAACAAGCCTGGCGGTAAGCGAACCGCATCGACATGACAGTACTACTGCTTTGCTATCTTACCACATCAAAATTAACGTAAGCCCCCCCCCCCCTATCTTTCCAGGGGTCCTTATCCCCGGCGACGTGTGCGCCGTCCAGAGCGTGCGGTCATCGGCGAGGTTCATCCTGGTGCTGGAGAAAGACACAGTCTTCCAGCGCGTCCTTCAGGAGGGCATCCTTGATCGACTCGGGCCGTGCATCGTGATTACGGTAAGTTGTAAAGTAATAAATACCGGAAGATGAAAAATTGGAAAAAGGGGTGGGGGGTCTTGCCTTCCCCCTTCATGGAGCACCACGAGTATACCGCGCTCCGTTCCAGGGCAAGGGCTACCCCGACGTGAGCACCAGGGCGTTGCTCAGCAGGCTGGAGGCGGAGCTCCGGCTGCCCATGCTGGCCGTCATGGACGCCGACCCCCACGGGGTCCACATCATGTGCGTCTACAGGTTCGGCACTAGGGTGAGCAGACACGCCATACTCTACCGGACCGGCCAGCCGATGACCTTTGCCAAACGTGTGCCCTGTCCTGTTCGCAGACTTGTCCGCTGGCCCTGCCATCGCTGCGCTGGCTGGGCGTGCTGCCCTCGGAGCTGTCGTCCCTCGGGCTGCGCAGCGCGCCCCTCACGCCCAAGGATCTCGTGCTGACGCGCGCGCTGCTCGACAAGAAGTGCCTGAGTGACGCCCACGGGATCCGAGCAGAAGTAAGTTTGCGCCCCTTCACCGTACGTATATACCTGGTCCCCTGTCAGGCGCTAGTGTGCCGGTTTTTAATCTCGATATCTCACTTGCCTCCAGATTGAAACCTTCCTCACCGTACGACAGAAGGGCGAAGTGGACGCTTTGTTGGACATTTCCCCATGCTACATCACGGATGTCTACTTGCCTAACAAGATTGCAGCCGCCCATGTACTCTAGGAACTCTGCCCGAAAATAAAATCAACTTATTGTTT